TTTAACAATTTCATTATGTACATTGGCTCAACTATGCCACTTTATGTGTATTTTCGAACCTTTTTTAAACAGCGCATCTCTTAAAAATTTAATAATGGCGAAAAATTCATTGCTTTCAAAATATAAGTTTTCCCAGATTTATTTAAAAATCTTCAAATCCTTATAAATTTTGAGGCGCTCGAGTTTTAGAGGGGGTAGTACCGAAATTCACTCGACAGAATGTACCTCGTTTTTAAATTAGGAACTCACATTCATATATATTCGCGATTTTCTTGCCTGCATATTACGAAAAGGAATGCTGAGATTTATAAAAAGAATTCCAAGTCGCGCAGATTAAAAAAGAGCTTCGGTGTAAATTTTATGACTGAGTTAGTTTTAAATTTGATTAGTAGTAAAATTTATTCCTCGAATCCTTTTGTACTCTTCACACTCATGAAAATATATTTATGCTAGAATATGATGTAAATCCTTTACCATTATGGTGTATGATTTGAGCCAATACCAATACTTATTTTACACCAACAGAGTTTATATTATGTTCTAGAAACAAGAAAACTTGTATACCACTGGCATAATATATATGCCGAAATTCAGTAAAAAAAATTGACGGTAGGTGTAAATAATGCACGAAAAAACGGTATAACTTTTACACTGAATCGAAATAAACTGTTCAAAAACTGAGCTTAGAAATGGCATATTTTTTATATTGAAAATGTATATCACGCCGATGTTAAAAATACACAATATATTTTGGTGTATTTTTGACTTTTGTGCTACTTGAGAACAGACTAGGAAATAACAATTACATCCCAAGGACTGAGAAATTTTTTTTTTGTTACTTAGTGTAATCCAACACATTTGGATATACAACATTTTTTGTTTTTCCATCTTTGGTATGAATAAATAAAAATTTGGAATGCCAACTCTTGAACAGGCCACGTATAGCTGTCCGTGCGAAAAGCACGGCTCCTCCAAATTCACGCGCCTTGTTGACGGACATGGCAAATGCTAGACGCACTGGGAATTGCAAACGCTTAAATTCAAACGTCATGTCTGTTTTTATCAGTGGAATACGTGGTATGAGCACAATTTCACCTTTCGCTTTGCCAGTCAGTATTGTTGCTTCAACTAAATTCGCCATCAATTTTTTTACTGCCAGTCTTGTGCCATTACACAGTTTTGGAGTATTTAAATTCCGTAGTAAAATAATTGATGAGCCGACCTTTAAATTCAAACAATGTGGTGGCATACCAGGCGGTTCCATTGAATTCAAAAATTCAACTGGATAATTCACTGCGTCATCTTGATTCATTGCGCTGTCAACAGATTTATATGTTGTCACTTCGTCTGGCAATTTTTCTAGAAATTGATAATTGATTGAATTGACTTGCACATTTTTGGTGCCAGTATTGCGCGTTCTCTCAACCAATCGTGATACATGTAATTTTGAGCAATATTTGGAAACACGCATTCAATCAATTTTTCTTTTAATTGGAGAATTGTACAAAAATTCTTCGGCAATGTAATCAAGCCATTTGTATTATCGATTTGAACTTTGCCATTTCCGATCTCTAACAATTGCTTCGAGAACCGATCTTCAAATATTATTGTCCAACTGAACACGCATGTTTATGTGTAATGTCAATTTTTGCACATATCGCCACAGAGGGGAAGACTTCAAGCATACATTGATCTCATCTGCCTGTGTTGATCGTGGAATCACAGGCAATGTTTGTCGAAAGTCTTCTTCTTCTTCAATAATACCAAAGCACCACCAAAAAGCTGTTGATTTCCACGTAAATCCTGCATTGTGTTGATTCTTCAAAGTCCAAAATAGAAAGACCGAATATCAATGTACACCACCTATTCTATAATACGATGAAATGACAGATATGTTGTATTGTGGTGACTTTCATTCCATTGGCTCTACAAAATCCCTATTGAAAAACTTGCAGCCATGTTTATACTTGACTTAATTTATCCGAAGAAAAAATAAAAACAGCACACTATAGCAACAATTTTCCACTACGTTTTGAAACTTTTCGTACGAAATGATGCAACAAATTTGTGCAAAATTATTTAAATAAATTCAATTGAAATAAAACAATCTGTTTTTGTTGTTTTTAAATCGTATATGTTTAAAAAAATCAAGAACTAATTGAGAACTATACTGCAGCCATGTATGTATATACTTGACTTAATTTATCCGAAGAAAAAATAAACACAGCACATCATACTCTATTCGTTCTGAGCATTTATGTATACATTTGTCTATATTTATCTCGATTCGTTTTGGCTGTTACAAACAACCGTTATGTGAACAAAATTAATATACCCTTGTGCACAAGTGCGCTCGGGTATACAAATTCTTGC